CACTTGAAAATGTGGAAACGGCTTTGGAACTGGGTGTTGAGGAGAGTTTGGAGGACTCAGAAGACTAAAAGATGAGGGAAAGTTTGGAATGTCTTAGAGACCAGTTAAATGGTGGCGAGCAGAAAGCTTATGGAAATATGGACTGTAAAGACCATTTGAATGAGGTCTCAGACAGAAATAAGGAGTTTATTGGAAACTGGGGCAAAGATCACCCTTGCTGTGACCTGGCAAAGAGTTTGGCTGCATTGTGTCCATGCCCTAGGACTTTGTGGAAGTTGGAACTTAAGAGTTGTGAACCAGAGTATTCGGTGGGAGAAATTTCTAAGCAGCAAAGCATTAAGGAAGCTGCATGGCTACTTGTAACAGCCTACTCTGAGTTATGGTGGCAAAGGCACTACATAAAGCCAGAATTTAAAAGGGAAGCAGAGTGTAAAGATTTGGAAAGTTTGTAGCCTGGTCATGTGGTAGAGAAGCAGAGAGCATTTTCAGAAAGAAAATTCAATGGTACTAAGAAGATTAGCACAAAAGAATGGGAGTATCAAGAGAAGGAGGAAAAGGCCCTGAAGGCATTGCAGAAGCCTCTGGGGCCAACTCTTCCATTTCAGCCCCAAAGACCTAGAGAGACAGAATGGTCTTGGGGAACAGACCTGAGGCACCCTAAAAAAGTTCATTGCTCAGGGTCACCTTGGGATGCTGCTCCCCACACCAGTACCCCAGCTGCTTTGGCTGCTCCAGCTGTGGCTAANGAAAGAACAAAAGAACCCCCTAGGGTACCCCTGGCCTGGCCTGCCTCTAAGAGACCCCCCCCCGGCCTGGCCTGTCCTGTACTGCTACTAACAGTGCCCCTGGCCTTTCCTGGCCTGCCACTAATGGTGCCCTGGCCAGGCTTGATGCTAAGGGCTCCATGAGTTTGGCTGCATTGTGTCCATGCCCTAGGACTTTGTGGAAGTTGGAACTTAAGAGTTGTGAACCAGAGTATTCGGTGGGAGAAATTTCTAAGCAGCAAAGCATTAAGGAAGCTGCATGGCTACTTGTAACAGCCTACTCTGAGTTATGGTGGCAAAGGCACTACATTAAAGCCAGAATTTAAAAGGGAAGCAGAGTGTAAAGATTTGGAAAGTTTGTAGCCTGGTCATGTGGTAGAGAAGCAGAGAGCATTTTCAGAAAGAAAATTCAATGGTACTAAGAAGATTAGCACAAAAGAATGGGAGTATCAAGAGAAGGAGGAAAAGGCCCTGAAGGCATTGCAGAAGCCTCTGGGGCCAACTCTTCCATTTCAGCCCCAAAGACCTAGAGAGACAGAATGGTCTTGGGGAACAGACCTGAGGCACCCTAAAAAAGTTCATTGCTCAGAGCCACCTTGGGATGCTGCTCCCCACACCAGTACCCCAGCTGCTTTGGCTGCTCCAGCTGTGGCTAATTTGGCCCCAGGTGTGACTAGCACGCAACTTTGGAAAATACAGGCTGGAAGCCTTGTGGAGTCAAATTTATTTAATTAAAATAAAAACTGAAAGTGAATACACAGTTTTTGTTGGGTTTTTATTATTCAAATAAACAGCTTTCCGATTTACTAGTCCATCAGTTCTGTCATTTCCCCCTCCTGGTAATTTGATTTCATTCTTTTGTGTTTAGTATATCCATCCTCCTGAGAATCTTAGGTTTGTTATTATTTTCTTACCTTCTTATGATGAACAAGTAGCTTTAGAATATTTTGATATTTATTGTTTAATAATGACATATAAGGGTGTGAATTTGCTGTAGAAAAGAAATTTGACTTCATCTGCTTTGTCTTAGCAATTTAACTATGAGGGACTTTAGTATGATTGTCTCCTCTTTTCTTTTTTATTCCCAGTTGGGGTTTGCTGATCTAATTGGGGTTCTTCAATCTGTGCATTGATCTATTATACCCATTTTGGAAAATCCTCAGCAATTACGCCTTCAGTGACGGCTTCTGTCCCCTTCTCTCTCCCCTCTCTGTCCCCCTCTGAGTCCAATTACCCATATGCAGTTGCAATGAGGCTCATCCATCTCTGCTTCTTCCCTCTTCCTCAGGGAAGGCCCTTCAGGGATTTGGATGGAAATTCCAGTGGGTCACTGGTCAACCGTGAAAGACTGACAAATCCACTTGTGACCTTTAGAGGTTTCAGCTTGCTTCCTTAGCACACACATCCTGCAGCTTTAAAATGTGCCTGCCAAAAATCTTGACCAATCAGCAGCCTCATCCCTCTGGGGAAACATAATCTCCCAAGCACTTTGAGATTCAGGAAGATTTTAGTCTGACTTTTAGGAAAACTTGGCCTGGCTCCTCAATCCTCTACACTCATCTCTTGAACATACAGAATGTCTTTTTAGGAAACACCAACCACATCATGAGACAGGAGGTACTCAGTTTCCCTGGGTTCAGGTTTCCAGACATGCTTCTGGGTTTCCAGCCACTCCTCAAGGTCTCAGGTCCCTCCTCTAGGCCCTCCCCTAGAGGAAAGTTACTGTTGCCAGTTAGACCTATTTTCAGCACCAACATGGGGAAAATGAGACCACAAAGGGCTGGCTTATGCAAATCCAGTGGCTGGGCATGCTCAGTAGAGAGGGGTCATGTAACCCTGGTAGCTGAATGACCTTCCACTACAGGAGCTAGAGAGCACAGGATGTTCTCAAATATGTTTGGTGCCTGTGATAAGATTTGACCAATGAGCATGCTGCAAGAAGAGACTAAATGAGCATGTGGAAGACTATGTCACACAACTGGGAGCCACACTTTTTATTGAATATTCATTAGAGAGTGAAACTATAAAAGCTAGATCCCAGCAGAAGGAGGGGCTGGTGCTCACTGTCTTGGAGGCAGCCTGCACTCTGCCTGTGGAACGTGTATTTCTTTCTCTTTGTATCAAACTTACCTTCAGCGAGTGGCTGCTCACTCTCTTGAGCCAGCCTGAACTCGGTACTGAACTTTAAGTGTGTATTTCTTGCTTTTGTGTTAAACTTGGTGTGGGCCCTGCTCAGCCTCTGGAGCTATGCTGCTCTCTCTCTCTCTCTCTCTCTCTCTGGGTCAAATGTGTATCTCTTCTTTCTTACATAAACCTGTTCTCACTTTGTCCTGTGACTCCATTCTTGAATTTCTTCCTGTGGCGGAGTCAAGAGCCCAGTAAGAGGATGGGGTGGGTTGAGACGGACTACTGGGAACCCCCAGACATCAGTCAGTGCTTCTCGAGTTGTGTGGTCTCTCCCGCCAGCACCAACCATAAGTGACCAACCAATACTTCCCTGGTTTCTCTGTCCCCAACATGGGCAAAGTGTGATTATCAGTCCCTACTGAGAATTAGCAAAAACCCTGCCCTAGATGTCCCCCTCTATGAAATTCAAGTTCATCTAATAATTGTTTTCACAACTCTGTTATGCCTTCAAAAATAGGATTTTTATAGTTTATCTGGCTTTTTCCTAGTTATTGTGTTGAGCATCAAGATGTTGCAACATTTACATCCTAATGAGAAGCTGAAGTCATGGCACATTTGTTTTCTAACAGCTTTTATTGAGATGTAATGTATATGCCATATAATTCACCCATTTAAAGTGGGTGATTCAGTGGATTTTAGTACACTCAGAGTTTTGCAGTCATCACAGCAATTGTAGAACACTTTCATTACTCCAAAACTAAATCTCTTAGCCATCATCCCCAATTATTCCATCCCCTCCAACCCTAGACAACCATTAATCTATTTTATTTTCCTACAAATCTCCTTATTTTGGACATTTAATAAAAAGGGTATCATACATTATGGGGTCCTTTGTGACTGGCCTCTTTCACTTAGCATAATGTTTTCAAGGTCCATGCGAAGTTGTAGCATGTGTCAATACCTCAATGCTTTTTATGACTGAATAATGTTTGTTTACGTGGATATCCCACATTTTGTTTATTCATTGATCAGTTCATGGACACTTGGCTAGTTCCACCTTTGGACTATTGTGAATAGTGCTGTTATGACCATTTGTATTTAAGGTTTTGTGTGGATGCATAATTTTCTCTTGGTATATACCTAGGAGTGGAATTGCTGGATCATACAGTAACTCTACACTGAATCATTCGAGGAACTTTCAGGCTGTTTCCAAAGTGGCTGCACCATTGTATGGTTTTCCCAGCCATGTGTGAGGGTTTTAATTTCTCCATATCTTTACAACATTTTTCATGCATCTTTGTGAATATAGCCATGGTAGTGGGTGTGAAGTGATATCTCATTGTGGGTTTGATTTGCATTTCTCTGATGTCTACTGATGTCAAACATCTTTTGATGTGCTTATTGGCCATTTGTATATTTTCTTTATAAAATTGTGTATTCAGATTTTTTGCCAATTTAAAAAAATGGGATATTTATCTTTTTATTATCAAGTTGTAATCTTTTTTTTATATATATACTGGATATAAGCTCCTTCTAAGATATAATTTGTAAAACTTTTCTCCAATTCTGTGGTTTTCTTTTCACTTTATTTCTTTCATTTTTCTTTTCACTTTCTTATGGCATTCTTTGAACCACAAAAGTTTTTAATTTGATGATGCTCAGTTTATCCATTTTTTCTTTTGTTGCTTGTGCTTTTGATGCCACACCTAGAAAACCATTACCTAATCTAAGATCATGAAGATTTACACTTATGTGTTCTTCTTTGAGTTTTATACTTTTAGCCCTCCCAGTTTGGTCTTGAGACATCTAAGGAGAAAGGCTGATGGGACCCAGAGCCCATGTTGGGAGAAAGGGGGTGCTGTGGTGTGTGAGAGGAGCAGCTGGCAAGCAGGAGTGACCTGGATGGGACCCAGCTGGGAAGGGGCAGCTACACTCCCAACATCAGTGAAGGGACCCTCCAGGAAGGGGTCGAGTGGGGAAGTGTCTGGAGGACTGGATGGGGGTCTTTGGAGGTGGTTTCTGGGATGAGAAGGTCTGGGGCAGAGCTGTGAGGAGTCCAGAAAGGGACTGTGAAGTGACACATTCCCCTGCTGTCCATTCCTTGCCCACCTCCTGAGCCCTGGGGTCCTACTCTCCCGGGTCAGGGGTTGAACTGGCACAGGAGGGTCCAGGGCAGGGGCTGGAAAGTGGCCTCTCTGCTCTGCCTGGTGCCTCGAATTCTGTGACGACTGCCATAAAGGGTCACACAGAAGCTGCAGGGGCACCAAGCAAGAGCCCCGCCCCTTTCCCTGAGGGGGCCACCTCCCTGGGGTGGATGGGGCCAGTGATCAGCAGCTTTCATTGTGACTCCACCCTTCCCTTTGTTGTGGCCACACACCCCTTAGTTTCATCTTTCTCATCCACCAATGGACTGCAAGTATTGAGGCCACGCCCACTTCACTGTTGCCTGGTACCGCCCGCTCCCACCGGCTCTGGCTCAGTTGCACATCTGCGCTGTTAGCTGAAGGAAGTGATTCCCCAGTGCTTGGATGGTGGTGACACAGCACCCCTTTCCTTTTCCCTGCCCTGAGATGTCGGAGGAAACCTGACAGAGGAAACTGGCTGTGGCCAAGAAAAAGGTATAACATGCTGGGTTACAGGCCCTGGACCCAGCCTGATGCCCCTCTGATGGTGGGACAGGGGCAGGACTGTGTCACTTCTGAGGCACAAAGGACTTGCCCCTCTGCACCTCTTGACTCCATTCACCAACATCTTCTCAGCCATCCCTGCCGCCTCAGCAGCCCAGCCCCTGCCCTCACCAGGCGCCCCCTGTCATTACTGCCTGGAGCCCGGCCTTTGACCTGATGACCCAGTACCCTAAGTGTTTTAACCCTCTTTCTGGCTTTTCAGGTTATGGCACAAATTTCCATTTGGAAGGGTACTCAGGACTGGGGGACCCAGGACTCCCTTGATGACCTGAAAAGCCTACATTTCATCAGTGAGCTCAAAATGTTGACAATATCTCTGGGTGACAATTGGGAGAATGGGTTTGGTTTGGTTTTCTCCCAGGTTTCTACTCTCTAGAGACACTTTACAGTTTATTTCTGAGTCTGTATCTCACATTAGAATTCCCTAGGATTCTAGGACCAGAGCACCTTTCAGTCAGAGCTCTCTGGATGGAGATGTGCTTAGCTTCTGTGGGATAAATCCCGGGCAACTGAACTTCACAGCTTGAATCTTGCCCAGATCATTTCAATCTGTGGTGCCACAAGACTCATAGGGGTCATCTTTCTGAAGCATCAGATTTGCTTAATTCTTTTGAGAGAGAAAAAACCTATTAATATACTTAGGGGTAACATTCACCTAGATTTGTAAGATCACAATAGACTTCTCTATGAAGTGATGCTTGGATTGTCCTCTTTTTGTTAGGTCCCCAGATTTCTAGGGGTGTGCCCTCACTGACTTCTGTCATTAGGATACATTGATGTAAACATTTGGGAAGTACTGTTGTGCAGCTCTCACAGCTCTGTAAGAGAGGACCCCAATGTCTGATTTGTATTTTGCCACCTGGCAGCTGCTGATTCATGACAAAGCCCCAGAAGACTGAAGTTAAATTCCATTTTTGCCTTTTTTTAGTCACATTATCAATCCATTTCTTCAGCCATTTAGTGATCATCACAACACCTTATAGGGTTGCTGGTGGCATTAAATCAGATGTTATAAGTAAGAATATTTTGTAAGAACTGTAAAGTAGGATGCAAGTGTAGGGGCTTATAGTTCTCTTGAATATTACAGCTTTTCTTTTTCACAGTTAAGAGATTAGCAATGGAGAAACAGCCTTGGTGGTCCTCCATCAGCAAAGAACAAAATGAAAACTGCTAGTAGCCCTGATTCAGCCACTTCTGGGGGCTGCCAGTTGCCTAAGGAGGTGAGTCTTGGCTGGTCAGGCTCCTGGGAACAGGGAGGTCAAGGGGCAGTAGGGGGTAATGGTAACAATTGTGGAAGAAGTGTCAGGGACTGGGTAAGAAGTCTGGGTTTGAATCCTACCTCTCCCTCTGCTGGGGATATGACTTAGGACTCTTCTCTGAGTCTTCTTCCTTGAAGCCGTATACACAAAGATGGGCCACGAGCTTGGCTCTCATTAGATCCTGCTGCAGGAAGCACAGGATGATGTTGATAACACCAAGGTCCACGGCTCAATCCCTGTACCAGCCAACAACTCAAAAAAAAAAAAGAAAAGAAAAGAAAAAAAGAAAGAAAGAAAAAGAAAATACAGCATGAGAGCTGCTCGGGAGGGGAGTGATGATGGGGAGAGAGACCTTGAGAAGTGGGCGCAAAGGAGCTACAGGAGGAGGGCTTGGTCCAGGTCAGGCAGGAAAGAGACTTTAGCCAGTTGATAAAGAAAGAACATCAGAGGGCTTAGCCATTGAGGGAAACAGAGCATCTCCATGTGTGCTCTCATCTCTTCTAGCCCACATCATACAATAGTGGGGAGGCCTTTGTGACTTCAGCTTACACAAAGGAGCTGGAGGTAAGTGCCTCTGCAGGCCAGCCTCCTGACCACCTCCCATGGTGGGGGCTGGGTGCCCCACTGCCAGCTGAAACAGCCCCCACCCCTAATGATTGCTCTCTCTACCTCTCCCCCAACCCTCTTCTCTGCCTGCAACTCAGAGCCAGCATCTAGATCTGGCAGTAGTCTGATTCTCCAGCTATGCAGAAAACAAATGTTGAAGGAGTATGATCCAGGAATTTGTAAGAATCCAGTGGGGTCCCTTGATTCCACGTTGCCAATCCTGGGCTCTAATTTCCCCTTGGGGCTCTGAAGAAAGGGGCTGGGGATCCCTGGTGCCAAGGGAGAATGGGGTACTGAGGGACCCCAGACCATGCAGCATGGCTCTTTCTGTTGCTGCCCTGTCTGCCCACTCTCTCTTCTCCAGATAACCTGCTTGAGTCCTCACCACACGTGCCCTGGGCTGTCCCTCTGCTGGAAACCCTAGGCTGACTGTTGTCAGAAGCCCTGTGTTCCTGCCCTGACTTAGTTTCTCCTTTGCTTTGTCTTTGGTTTTGGACAAGCCACCTCTCCTGCCCAGGCTTGAGTGTCCTGAGATAGAATTAGAGGGCGTCAAAGTTCCCTTTCAGCTCTATGAATGAAAGACTTCTAGGCACACGTGATACATCATGGAGACAGGGATCTTGTCTGTCCTTTTCATTCCTGGATCCCCGCTATTAAGAAGTCCCTGTCCCATAGTGTGCAGTTCGTGGTGAATACATGCACCCTTGTGAATCACAAGCTGGGAGAAGGGTAGTTTTTCCTTTCTCAGCCTCCATTTCTAGAGGTTTCTGTGGCTGTCCTTTAAAGAGAATCCAGATTCAGATGTTCAGATCTGTAGCTGTGAGTGAAAACCTCACAGCTAAGAGAATTGGGCCAAATTCTCTTTCCTTGGGAGTTTGAAGAGAGTTAGTCACTTTGTGACCCATAGGGTCTGAGAGCTTTTCCTTGAAAATCCATTCCTGTCCCCTGCCCACCACTCTGGTCTGGGGAATGGAACTGAGGGGACAACCTCAGTCACCTTCCTGTGGCTCTCTGCACAGGAAACTCTGGATCAACTGTGAAGAGAAACTTGATTTTTTTGTTTGCTCATTCCATGTCTGATGAGTTTGGGGAAAGACTCAGATGGAGAGGCCACAGGCTTGTCTTGCCCACTCCCAACCTGGAGAAGACTCACTCATGCACCCCACCCTCAGCCCCACAAGGTCCCTGAGAATTTGGTCTCACTGGTGGACCTATCCTGGGTCATTGGTGGCATTTCGGGGTCCTGTCCCTTGCTGTTACATCTCTGCCTCCCTGGTAAGAGATGTTTCTTTCCTTTTCCTATAGCAGGAGAGTAGGTGTCAGCAGGACTCCCTGCAGGAACAACTGCAGGTGAGTGGACCGTATGGCATCCCTCACATCCCTTAGAGAATGTTCCTTTTCCTCTCTCTCAGCACCTGTTTGGCTTTTCTCCCAAAGGCTCAGATTCAGACCACTGATGTGTTAATATCCGAAAAGGCACAGTTACAGAGAGCCCTGGCCTACACTCACCATGTGGTCTGGCAGAAAGCAGGTGCAAATCTGGGCACCCTTCCTCCCTCAACCTGGTGCCTTGGCAGGCCTTCAGGGGAGTCCTTTGGGCTCCATCTCGACCTCTGTTATCCTGGAGGAGTGTGAACATCTGGCGAGCTGCCTGTGCTCACATGAGCAGCAGATAAGAGCTGCAGTGGGATCTGCCTGCTGTCCCCACACTGCAGAAGGAAGCCGAGAGGGTGAGTCCAGCCACCTGCCCTCATGCTTGCACCTCCACCCCTGGGTAAAAAATGGCCTTAGGGAATTAGATAGACCTGGATGTTCACATCCCAGCTGTAAGCGATCTTAGCACTTAACCTCTAATACTTTGCATTTCATCTACAAAATGGAGATAATAACAGTAACTCCCTCCTATGGTGGTTTTGAGGACTCGATGGATTGTTAGCATGGTGCCTGGTGACATGCTTAATACAAGAGTCAAACAATGCTGATGATTGTCATAACAATGGCAACATGACCCGATATCCCTGGGCTTCTGTCAGCCAGCTGTAAATCAGATTTCTTTCCCTGCCTCTTCCACTTACTGAGTTCTTAGTGAAACCAACTGAGAACAGGGGCTTGGAAATGCCTTGAAAAAGATGTCAAGTGTGGTTCAGGTGGAGAAAATGTTACTGCTGGATGGTTACTGTAGGTGTCGGTGTTAGTGTGCCCCGGCTACATCTTCTCCTTGCCAATTCCTGACTATACCATCTGTATTTGCAGTCCTACCATGACTTGATAAGAGAGCAAGATACTCTCCACCTGCACTTGGAGGACAAGTAGGAGGTGGAAGGTGGATGGCAGGTCTGGGGCCCTCAGTGTGGGCGATGTGCTGGGAGATGGGAGGGGTACAGGTGAGCATGACAAGGTGGATGCATGGGTTTGGACATGTGCAGAGCCAAGCTATGGCCCCAGCTATGCAAGTGACTCATGTGTGGCCTTAGGCAATTCATGTCCACTCTCTGGACTGGCACTTGTGTCTCTTGATTCCTGAGGTCCCTTTCCCATACCATGGTCCTCTGGTTGTGTGTCAAAGTCAGTGCATTGATCACCAAAGTGGTCCTTTCTGTTCCTTGTTCTTTCCATTCTCCACCACCTCTGGCCATAGGAACAACTATGAGGAATTCAAATGTCACCAGTCCCAAC